CCAAGCTGTTCACTGTGTGTTCTTCCTGGCGCCAACCAAGCCTCGCTGCCTTTCTCTGTTCCTGGCCCATCCCTTAGCCCCTTCGCGCCAACCCAAGCTGTCTTCACGGACCCTGCCTCGTTTCCGTCTGCTGCAGCTTTGCGCCTGGTCACGCACCTTGTAGAAATCCCCCAAAAGGGCGTGAGTGCTGACTCATGTGATGCTTTGTAAAAAAATAAAAGGTCTTAACTCCTTGAGAGTTGTAAGTGGGCGGTCTTGGGGTGGGTAGGTCTGCAGACTACCGCGCGCTCCCAAAGCGTGCTCCCGTCTGGCACGCCCTAAACCCTAAACCCTAAACCCTAAACCCTAAACCCTAAACCCTAAACCCTAAACCCTACCCCCTAAACCCTGTTCCCCGAACCCTGAACCCTATTCCCTAAACCCTAAACCCTAAACCCGAAACACCTGAAGCCGAGGACCAGTCCTGCAACTCATGGAAGAGCACCTCAGCAGGTTGCCTGAGCCACACCGCTCCTTGGGTGCGAAGCGGACCATTGGGGCTAGGGTTTAGGGTTTAGGGTTAGGGTTTAGGGTTTAGGGTTTAGGGTTTAGGGTTTAGGGTTTAGGGTTTAGGGTTTAGGGTTTAGGGTTTAGCGTTTAGGGTTTCGGGTTTAGGGTTCTGGGAACAAGGGTTTAGGGTTTAGGGTTTTAGGGTTTAGGGTTTGGGGTTTGGGGTCTAGGGTGTAGGGCGTAGTGGGCTCTGGTTTTTTGGGAACCTCTCGCGTCTTCATTGCAGCCGAAACCCTGGGCTCTAAGCCCTGAACCCTAAACCCTAAACCCTAAACCCTAAACCCTAAACCCTAACCCTAAACCCGAAACCCTAAACTCTAATCGTGTGAGCACGAGGCGAGGTGGACATCTCTGACTCGCAGCTGGAAAACATAAACAAGGCCCTCCGAGACGGGTTTGTTTCTGGGTTTTGTAAGGCACCGAGACCCTCCACCACCGAAGGCCCTAAACCCTAAAACCTAAACCCTAAACCCGAAACCCTAAACCCTCAACCCTGAACCCTAAACACTGCGCAGGTGCTTCGCCGCATGGCTGTGTCTGACTTGCGCCTCGGGCTGTGGGGTTGAAGGTTTAGGGTTTAGGGTTTAGGGTTTAGGAGTTAGGGTTAGGGTTTAGGGTTTTTGGGTTTTGGGTTTAGTGTTTGGGGGGTTCTTTTTCTTTGGAATGAAGGGTTTAGGGGGGTTTCAGGCGTCAACAAGCAGGCCGCCAGGGAGGCTCAGGCAACTTCAACCGTACCAGTTGCCCTCATATGCAGACCAGAAGTCCGAAAGCCCTGAGCCCTGAACAGGGTTCAGGGTTTCGGGTTTAGGACTTAGGACTTAGGATTCAGCTGTTGTGGCCCAAACCCTAAACCCCAAACCCCCCACACCCCAAACCCCAAACCCCAAACCCCAAACCCCAAACCCCAAACCCCAAACCCTAAACCCTAAACCCTAAACCCTAAACCCTAAACCCTAAACCCTAAACCGCAAACCCTGAACCCTAAACCCCAAACCCTTGGAACTCGGGGCTGAGGGTACACTTCTCAGGGGATGAGCTCTTGGGCGCAAGACTTCTGTGTTTGGTTTCTTGAGGTTTCCTGAGCCTGGAAGACAGTTCCGGTTTCAAGGTTGAGGGTTTAGGGTTTAGGGTTTTGGGTTTAGTGGGTGAATGTTTCTGAAAGGGTCTTCAAGAGTTCGAGTTTTGCAGGTGCTCCAAAAACAAGCGGGTTTGAGGTTCTTCTTCCCGTAATCCCCTAAGCCCCAACCTAAGCCAACCCGCTGGAATTAAGATGAATCGCAAATTACCACCCAAGCCCCACCAGCTACCCTATATAAACCCCAAACCCCCAAGCCCTATGTCCTAAGCCTTAAACCCTAAGTCCTACACCCTAAACTGAAAACCGGCCCGCTCCCCAGGCATGTGGCCGGTCCCCTTGCGAGTTTTTAGGTAGGGGGGGACCCCAACTTCTACACCCGAAACCCCAAACTTAAAACCCCAAACCCTAAACCCCAAAACCCAACACCCTAAACTGCAAACTCCAGCGCGAGACCGTGCGAGGGTTGTAGGCTTTTGGGGTTTCGGGAGACGTCAGAAAATCGATGTGTCGCTTTGCGTTGAAGGAGCCGTGGGCCATTTTTCTTCCAGGTTCTTGCGGTAGTTACAGGACCAACGGCCCCAAATCGTGATTTTTGTCTAGGTGTCAAGTCCAGCTCAACACAAAAACCCTGAATCCAGGGGCATTCAGGACACCCCAAAACCTAGACCCAAAACACCAAACCCCCAAACACCTAAACCCTTAAAACCCTAAACCCCTGAACCCCTAAACCCCTAAACCCCTAAACCCCAAAACCCCAAAACCCCTAAACCCCTAAACCCCGAAACCCCTAAACCCCTGAACCCCAAAACTCAAAACCCTAACCCCAAACCCTACATCCCTTAACCCCCAAACCCAAAAAACCCCCAAAACCCCAAAACCCCAAAACCCCAAAACCCCAAAACCCCAAAACCCCAAAACCCCAAAACCCCAAAACCCCTAAACCCCTAAACCCCTAAACCCCTTACCCTATAAACACTACCTAACCTATGTATATTTTCCGGCTAATGCCTTCGCGGTTTTCCACCGCACTTTCGCGGTTTTCCACCGCCCTTTCGCGGTTGTCCACCGAACTTTCGCGGTTTTCCAATACTTCACGGCAAACCCCCGAACTTTCGTTTTTTTCCACCAAACTTTCGCGGTTTTCCACCAAACTTTCGCGGTTTTCCACCGGACTTTCGCAGTTTTCCACCGAACTTTCGCAGTTTTCCACCGAACTTTCGCGGTTTTCCACCGAACTTTCGCGGGTTCCACCGAACACTCGCGGTCTTCCAGTCTTCCACCGAAATTTCGCGGCCTTCCACTGAGATTTCGCGGTTCCCCCGAAATTTCAAGCACTTCTCCAGAGGAGGATGATGAAATTTCAAGCACTTCTCCGGAAAGGGTGGGGTGGGGTGGAGCCAGGCATGGCCATCAGGGCTGGTTTTAGGGTTTAGGTCCTACTCTGGGCTGACTTTGAGGGGGCGTTCAGCGTTCGGGAGACCAAAGGTTTCGGCTTGCGAGGATTGGGGTTTAGGGGTTGCGGAGGGGGGGATGAGGGAGTCGGGGGAAATCAGCGCCCAGCCGGTCTAAAGCCTATGCCCTGAGCCCTGAACCCCTGTACCCTTAGAAACGCTATCGCCTCGTGTAAGCCCGGCCAGCCCCATGTACCCGATAACCCCTGTACGCTCTGCAAACCCGATTGTGAGCCCCAAAAATCCCTGCACGCCCTCTGCACCAAGCCCTGTGAGACACCGACCAGCCCCACAATTTTCAGAAAGACCCGTAGACCTGAACTGCCCTTAGTGGAGGCTCCAAAGTTGTGCGTACCCTACTGGTTCTTAGTAGGGAATGAGGGGAATGAGGTAGCCTATACATAGGCCCGTAGAGGGTGCGCTGTAGGGGGACCTAGTTCCCTAGGCCAGGATCTGTGTGGATCCCGCAGCCCAATTGCAAAGTTCAATTGTTTCAAGGTTCTGGGGAGGCAATCCGCCCTTTGGGGAGGATTTGGGGAGGTTGTTGTTTCAATGGCGGGCAGTGATACAGTAGGAGCCTTCCCGTGTGCCGACTGTCACCTGAGCATCTCAGCAGCTTGAAGAAGCTCCCCGGACGTAGATCTCCATTGCTAGGTCTCTTTGCCATGGGGTGTGGTGGGAGCTGTAGCCATACCGTGGAGCCAGCCGGTGTTGCCTCGGTTTTCTACGTGCCGGAGAGCTTTCCAAAGCCTCCCAACAAAAACCTTGAGCCAAACAGCTCCACCCACCGGCTCTACGTTCGGCAGCTGAACAACTACCTCATCAATGTCGCCAAGAGTCCGTACGCCTTCCAGGTGCAGGTGGCGAGGGGCCGCCAGGCACGCTTTGGGGAGGCATGGGCTGAGGGCAGCATGCCGGATATGTTAGTGCAACCTCGAGATCCTTGTTGCGATGGCAAGTGGCTTGGCGTTGGCCCGTGACTGACTTGCCCGACTTGCGGACATGCATAATTTGCTTCCATTCTTGCCTGTTGCTGCCATCCCATGGCTGAGCCATCTGGGGCAGCCATTCCGGTCCAAAGGGAATCCAGTTCCCTCGCACTCAATACAACTCTTCACAGTATTTCCACGTCTTTCCTTGCAGCGTCGCCATGCATGTGCCAACTCAAGACGCTAAGCATCCTAAAGCTTATGGGTTTACAGGGTTTATAGGGTTTGTAGGTCTTATTCAAGTCCTAAACTCCATTGTAAGACGGCTTTGCGTTGGCCCCTAGCTGGTCCGACCTGCGGACATGCACGATTTGCTTCCATTGTTGCCTTTTTCTCTGCCATCCAGCCATCTGTGGCAGTAGCGCCCGTCCATGTCGAGGTCTAACAGTTTCAGCCTGTTCTGGCCCGCATGTTATCAGGCAGAGTCCGCTTGGCTGCTACCTGGACATTCATCGACGTTGGGTTTGCTGGTGTCGTATCAGCCAAGGGGGCTCCGTTTCCCTCGCGTTCAGTACAGCTCTTCATAGTATCTCCAGCTCTTTGCTTGCAGCATCGGAAAAACATACGGCTGCGATGCATGAGCTGTGCCATCTCGAGACTCTGAAGTTCTTTCCAAAGCTTATGGGTTTATAGGGTTTGTCGGAGACCTGGGACTTTAGGGTATACAGGGTTTAAGGGGCTTTTCGGGGCGCATACACGCCCAAACTCTACTGTAAGACGGCGCGGTGAAAGGAGCTCATTTGAGGTGGTTTGGTGGCGGGGTTTAGGGTCTAGGGTTAGCCTCTAAACCCTAAACATCGAGATTCTTTCATGGATTTGGGGAGGTTGCTGCTTCAATGGCCGGTGTGCCGACTGCAGGCTCAGAGAAGCTCCCTTGAGGATCCGGTACTTCGGGGACTCCACAGATTTCCATAGCTAGGCCGCATCCTGGCCATGGGCTGTAGTGGGAGCTGTAGCCATACCGTGGAGCCAGCCAGTGATATCTCGGTGTTCTACGTGCCGAAGAACTTTCCAACACCTCCCAAGAACCTCGAGCCAGACAGCTCCACCCACCATCTCCACGTCCGGCAGCTGAACAGCTACCTCATCAATGTCGCCAAGAGTCCGCATACCTTCCAAGCGCAGGTGGCGAGGCGCCGCAAGGCACGCTTTGGGGAGGCGTGGGCTGAAGGCAACGTGCCGGATATGTCGGTGCAACCTCGAGATCCTCGTGGCGAGGGCAAGTGGCTCCGTGTTTGCCCGTGACTGACTTGTCCGACCACGGCTGGGGCAAGTATGAACGTAGCTCGCGCAGCTGCAGGGCAGTGCAGTGTGTGGCCGCTGCAACGGACTTGGGAATGACTTCTTAGCTTCTGAGCCATCCGAGCCAGACTCTCTTTCGAGGTCTGAAGCCATGCCTTGGCGGAGCTTTGTTTCAATTTGGTTTCATTGTCGTCTTCCGCTGCCATACCACGGCGAAAAGCTGTCTGGGCAGCACCCCTTTCCAGCCCATGTCGAGGTCGGACGGATTGAGTCCGTTCTGGCCCGCATGTTCATGCATTTCCATGTACAACAGAGCCCTCCCCTTTGTGGCCTAGTCTTGGATTTTTTTTGCGGTCAGGCGGCAGAGTTCGCTTAACTGCTACCTGGACTTGTCACTGGGCTTTGCTGTCGTCGTCTCAGCCAAGGGCACGTTGCTCCTTCCTGCCTTGCAGCATCGGAAAACATCTCGCGGCCCAACCCGCTAAGCTGCTCCACTGCCTAAGCCCTAAGCCCGAAGCCCTAAGCCCTAAGCCCTAAGCCCGAAGCCCTAAGCCCTAAGCCCTAAGCCCTAAGCCCTCAGCCCTCAGCCCTCAGCCCTAAGCCCTCAGCCCTAAGCCCTAAGCCCTAAGCCCTAAGCCCTAAGCCCTAAGCCCTAAGCCCTAAGCCCTAAGCCCTAAGCCCTAAGCCCTAAGCCCTAAGCCCTAAGCCCTAAGCCCTAAGCCCTAAGCCCTAAGCCCTACGCCCTAAGCCCTAAGCCCTAAGCCCTAAGCCCTAAGCCCTAAGCCCTAAGCCCTAAGCCCTAAGCCCTAAGCCCTAAGCCCTAAGCCCTAAGCCCTAAGCCCTAAGCCCTAAGCCCTAAGCCCTAAGCCCTAGCTAAGCCCTAAGCCCTAAGCCCTAAGCCCTAAGCCCTAAGCCCTAAGCCCTAAGCCCGAAGCCCGAAGCCCGAAGCCCGAAGCCCGAAGCCCGAAGCCCTAAGCCCTAAGCCCTAAGCCCTACGCCCTAAGGAGCTCTACTAGTGAAATGCTTGGACTTGAGATGCCGAACCCCAAACCCTAAACCCCGAAGGCCCACACCCAAAAACTGAACCCTAGACCCCTAAACCCCCATTTTCTGCCCGAAACCCCAAAATCGCTACACCCTAAACCCCTAAACCTCCAAAACCCCCAAACCCCCAAACCCCAAACCCCAAGCCCTAAACCCTTCACCCTAAACCCCAAACCCCAAAACCCCAAATCCCAAGGCTCGCGCTGGCGCCGCGCGCAGACGACATCAGCTACCGCGAGATTGTGGCGGAGGAGCTCGAGAGGCCCTGTTTGGGGTTCAGGGTTTAGGGGTTTAGGGCTTAGGGGGTTAGGGTTTAGGGTTTAGGGTTTAGGGTGTAGTGTAGGGTTTGGGGCCTAGGGTTTGTGACTTTTGGTTCAGGGTTCAGGGGTTCACGTTCTTGAACAAGATTTTGGATTTCAAGCAGCTGTTAATACTCGAGGTCTAAGAGTAGTTGGGATCAGTTTTTGCAGGGTTGATCAAGTGCTGCAGGGCCTCCCATCCCCACTTAGAAGCTGCTTTGACTCAGTAAGTCTACTTAGTGTCAGGTAGAAACCCTATTATAATCCCCATAACCCTCCTAAACCCTAGACCCTAAACCCTAAACCCTAAACCCTAAGCCCTAAACCCTAAACCCTACTAGGTCAAAAGGGCTTCCAAGCGGGCCGCACAGCGCCGGCAATCGCAGGGGATGGTTTAACTGTTGGGAAGGTTTGTACGAATTGCTGAAAGGCGCCCAGTAGCTGCTTGAGGCTTTAGGGTTTAGGGTTTGGGGTTTGGGGTTTGGGGTTTGAGGTTTGGGGTTCTCAGAGCTTCTTGAGTGCTTTGAGGCGTTTTCCGCCATCAGCTGCGCGACCGTCCGCGAGCGAGTGAGATGGACAAAGGCCCTTTGGGAGGGAGCCTACGAATTTGAACGCCCATCTGTGTATAAGGACTGTTGGTATAAGGGGGAACGTCCCAATTTGCAGGGTTTATAGGGTTTTGTAGGGTTTGTAGGGCTCATAGGCTTTATAGGACTTATAGGGTCTATAGTCCGTATATGCAGCGGGGTTTATATCACTGTTATTGGTGAGCGTATGTAAGGTTCCTTTTTCCGTATTGGTGAGTGTATATATTTGGTGTCCTTGTGGGGATGCAAGGCATATATACCGTACTTCATACATGTTTGTGTATGTGCACCCGTGATGATACCCTGCACCCTAAACTATATGTACATTTTTATGAATATATATATATATATATATATATATATATTTGTTTATTTTCATATTCATATTTTAATTTTTTAGCTATATTTTCATTTATATGGTAGAACCCTCAACCTTAAGCGCAGTTGCCTTTCAGGTGTTGGGCTGTTGGGCCCCAGAAGCGGTGTGCTGCAGGTTTCAGGTGTGGGAAATGTGCGTCTGGGGATTTGAGTGCTGCAAGCCCTAAGCCCCAAGCCCTAAGCCCTGAGCCCTGAGCCTTAAACTCTGAACCCGAAGCCATGAACCCATATCAGGTATGTACCCAAGCCTCCGAGCCCTCGAGAGTTGCAACTAGCGAATGGGTCTGCAGACGGATGCTCGCAAAGTGCCACTAAACTCGAAACCCTAAACCTTAAACCTTGTAAACCTTGTAAACCTTAGACCCTAAACCCTAAGCCTCCCAAGGCTTAACCCCCCCCCCCCCCCAAAGATGTCCCTGCAGGTTCAATGAAGATATCTTCTCAGCCCCACTTGCTCCCGGGCTGAATTTAGGGTTTAGGGTTTAGAGGTTTAGGAGTTGCGGGGTTTAGGGTTTAGGGGTTTAGGGGTTTAGGGGTTTAGGGGTTGAGGGGTTTAGGGGTTTAGGTGTTTAGGGGTTTAGGGGTTTAGGGGTTTAGGGGTTTAGGGGTTGCGGGGTTTAGGGGTTTAGGGGTTTAGGGGTTAGGGTTAAGGGTTGGGGTTTGGAGGTCTAGGCTCTTCTTTCGGGTTTAGGGTTCAGGGTGTAGGCTCTTGTGCCCTAAAGTGGCGTGTAACATAGGCAGAAGCGCATCTGCGAGTTGCGGTTTAGGGTTTAGGGTTTGAGGTTTAGGGGGTTTAGGGTTTTTAGGATTTAGGATTTAGAGTTTAGGGTTTAGGATTTAGGGTTTAGGGTTTAGGGTTAACAAAGCTTTCGCCCAGTCCAGACCCCACATGGAAGAAGCTCTGCGAGCTCAAGCGCCTTTTTCATGCTCAGGGCCGAAATCCCACACCCAAGTTTAGGGGTTCAGGGGTTTAGGAGTTTAGGGGTTTAGGGTTTAGGGTTTTCCCCAACCCCCCTTAATATGAACTCCCAGGATATCTCACATTTTCAATGCTAGGGGTAGGAGGGACTTCACCAGGGGCAGCGGGTGAGCGTCAAAGTAAGGTGGCATCAACTACACCGGGAGGAGTGTCGGAGGAGAGTGCATGAATGGCGATGACCGGACTGTTCTTTTATTGTTTCTAGAGTTGATATGAAATAAATACTTAAATATACATGTATAAATAGAAGTATAGATGTAAATCTAAACATAAGTATAAGTATAAGTATAAGTATAAATATAAATATAAATATAAACACACATATTATATCGAGATATAGATACAGATAGATGTACATATGCATATATGCTCTGCTATGAGTCGAATATGCCGTGCAACTGGCCATGAGGTGTATATTCAACGCAGCATACGTGCCACACGCGTACTTAGGGCTGAATTGTTAGCGTCTCTCTCCCACAGCCGGCTACTCCCCAAAGCAGACAAGGACTTAGGCATGGGTGCAGGGAGGTGGGTTTGCTGTCGTCGTTTTGGGGGAGGGGGGGGGGGGGGGGGGGGAGGAGGACAACAACAAAATGAATGGAAACAGCAACAAGAGCGGCAAGAAGAACAGCAACATCGCCAACTGAGAATAGGACGAAGAACCATGATGAGTACAACAAGAGCGATGATGAGAATAGTACTAAGAAGAACAAAACAGTGTATTCGCTGATAGAGTTTCAATTTAATTAGTCTTGTGTCTCTCTTACCTTTCACCTTTTTTCAGCTTTAATTTGTTACCGAGCTCAAGTTTTAGAATGAAGATTACAACGGCAAGAAAGTAAGCACACGCCACGAATGGCTTGTCTCCTTCTTGCTCCTGTGACACAGCTATGCTTACCGCCAGGCAAGTTAACAAACTCGCGTCGCATGTCAACTTGGCTTTACTTTCCTTTGGTATTGCTTTCTGACTCTCTTCTGTTCCTCTTTCTCACGGGATAACCACTAGACAGGAAAGAATGAGGGATATGAAGCAGGGTCTATATTCCTGTTATTGGTGAGTGTGTCTGTTGGGTGGCGTTTTGGGGGTACAAGGAGTGCACACCCTACTTCATATGAGCGTAAGGCAAAAGCCGGGAATGTTTAGGTGAGTTTTGAAGCGGCCTTGCATGCGTCCTTCATTATCAGTTCTATCTCCCGATGCTCATAGAGTTTCCTTTGGTCGACGCAACACTGCAGCCGCCCAAAATCCTTAGCCAAGGGCCTCTCCCCAGATCCTGGAGCCCCCCACAGTAAACCCTAAACCCTAAACCCTAAACCCTAAACCCTAAACCCTAAACCCTAAACCCTAAACCCTGAACCCACAGTTGGATTTAACATTTTTGGGAGGACATCCGGTCGGCCTTCCGGACGTGATCCATTCTGGTAGCCGGTGGTTATCTGAGAGACACACAACTTTTGGCCGAGTGCTGCCTAATTCGTGCATGGAGAATGGAGAAGTCTCCACCTTTTTTCAAGTCCCTGAGGCTGATCCCCATCCCTAAACCCTAAACCCTAAACCCTAAACCCTAAACCCTAAACCCTAAACCCTAAACCCTAAACCCTCAACCCTCAACCCTCAACCCTCAACCCTCAGCCCTCCTCAACCCTCGACCCTAAGCCCTAAACCCTAAACCCTCAACCCTCAACCCTCAACCCTCAACCCTCGACCCTAAACCC